CCTCACGTGGACCCAAAATGATATGAGCCTAAGAGGCATCGAACCACGTGACTGACACACACGCGCGTGTCGTTTTGTCTGTTCACGCGCCGACAAAGGATGTGTTAGACAATCATACGATAAATCTTGTTCTTCCCTAAAAACAGCGAACTCCATGACCATCCATCATCATTCATGAGCCTCTCGTTCTCCTTTTTGATCCTATAAGTATATTTTTATTTGGTAACCATTTAATAATAATAGCTCATCATATTGCATAATGAATAGAGCATGGCCTGCTTTAATGATACATGTTCGATTCACTATTGCACGTACACTTTCGGCTTGATTGCTACCATTTTTTTTGCGGTGGTGTGAACATTAGATTGGAGTAATTTTATATTACTATCTTAAACTAGTAGCATATTGAGTCACTGCCCATTTTTGTTCCTTGGTTAAGTTTGTAGAGAAAACCATCATCAAAAGTAAGTAAAGCTCGAGCCAACGAAGTTACATGTAAAATAAAAAGCTTTGTTTCCTAGCCGTTTTCGCAAGGCAATCCACATTAAAGAAAACTATTAATAATTAATAATTAAGAATCATAGAATTGATTTTTGTTTTTTTTAAGAAAACAAATTTCAACGTCCGAAAATTCTCCAACTCTACCGTAAATATTGACCATATGATTAGATCCCTAAATTTGTTTAAGACGCAATTTTAGTCCCGAAAAGTATTTCATCGTCAACAAAATGTATATAATTTTACATGAAGATATGTGGAATCCTTCTTCAAGAACTTTTAAAACCCATATGAAAAATCTTATGGTCTGATGTAAAAATCCAACCATGTCACTTAGGGAATTCGAAGCTTTCCATGTATGAACTTCCATGTTTTTGCACCTCTGTTTGTTCTATTGCTCTCATAAATTGCTGACCGGAGCACAAAACACAACTTTATTCACTGCATATATAATTGACTCTTGTCCTTATATTATGCTACTCCAAATTGGAGTGTCGGCTATACAGTCATAGTCACTAAGCTACGAGGGCTAAGACCCATAGGTTAAACTTTGGTGATTGTTTCTACATCATCTTCTCCAGATTTCATGTAACCTGGTCCCCTTGTCTCGATAATATGTTAAACTACATGATTGCCCCTAAGAGTAGGTGGGTTGATTATTTTTCTGCGGGTATTACACTGTACTTAATGGTTCAATTATTGAGTCTCTATTGACCAATCTTGTTGTCGGTTTGATTTTTTTTTTTCTTCTAGTTTCTCATAGTGATGTTGAATTTAAATCAGTGTCAAGTCTAAAGAAGAAACTTTACCATAATTTATAAATGAATGTTTCTTATGAGAAATGTGAC